CAATCAGACAACCAAATCAATCTCCAAAATCGTCCTCAAAACAACCATCAATCACTGTCTCAACACCAGACGCTCAAAACAAAACTCTCATCATTGCCAACCAAAAGGACTATGCCTATCGAAATAAAAACCAAAGCTGATTCCATTCAAACTACGCTCGTAGCTAGCCAATACGGTATCATGACAGTGCCATGCACTCGCCCACAATGTACCTGCCCACAAAAATTGCTATCTTAGATGAACCTCCCTAAATAAATAAGGAGCCTAAGAGATCCATAACCTCATCATGGCCCAAAACCAACAAATCCACAATCGATCCAAAAGCTCTAAGGCTACACCTAACGGATCAACTCACAAGAGTCTAAACAAAAGGTGTCACACCACCTATCCAAAGCCAATGCTAGGCCAACAATGACCTAAACTACCGCAAAACCATGTGGACAATCATTAACAACCTCAAAAAAAAAGTGCCTAAACAAAACCAAAACACACCAACCATTACACTAAGTGCTAACTCACCAAACAACCCAATCCTAGAGGCAACCATCCAAGACTAATCCCAAGTCCTATCAAGTATGCAAAATAATCATGCGTATATAAATCAAATCTAACATACATCATATTTCATGCTCTTTACATTAGAATAAAATCGTGTTAAACAAACTGCATATCACATATACCACATAGGCACGTAAACATGTTATCAAACCAAAACATGTTATCATGAAACATATAAACATATAGAGCATGGCAACACAAGCATGATATGCACCCAAAACCCATCATCCAAGGTATTCAAACCTAGGAGCTCTGATACCACCTGTGAAGACCATAGATTTTTATAAACCCAGTGTGTCCTGTGATGACCCAAAATGGATCCAAAAATGCGGAAGCTAAAAAGAAACATAGCCTCTAGAGATGTATATCATCCTTAAGACACAAAAATGGCTTCTTGAGGAGTCCCAAGGCTCAACAGAAGCAAGAAGGAAACAATGATTCTAAAACCCTACAAGAAATGGACCAAGGGAAAAATTGTCATTTCAACTAGAAATAAGTGCTACCGTGAATAGCATTGGAAAGGCAATGAAAAATTAATAAATTTAGAGTTAAGAATCACTTGATTTGGAGTCCGGACGAAGAAGATATGAAAATAGAATGAAGAGGCATCCTCCCTTTAAGTGATAACACGACCCTATCTTACTAAAACTAGTATAACTCTCACTACGGTTGGATTTTTTTAGTATGGTTGGTATCACTGGAAAGCTAACTTCAAGATCTTGAGTTTAGGCTTAAGAATGACCTAATTTGGATCAGAAACGAAGGAGATATGGCCCTCTAAAGTTGACCTAAGAAATTTGTCCAAGAAGCTAAAAGGTAACCACGCTCTTGGGAGGATCAGCCAGCCGACGTACAGCACCAGCCAGCTGAAAGTCAATCATTAGCCGGCTGATGTACAGTACCAGCTGACCAAAATGCCCTTGTAAGAATGCAACTCTCAGGAAAAATACTGTGGACACTCATCGGTCGACCGATTTCTGCTATCAGCCGACCGATGGACCTGGTAGCAGCAGAAAAAACTGCTGCAAACCATGGGGAAGATGCTTGGCTCAATCCTAAAGCTATTCATGCTTCCTAAATGATCCAAACAAGTTTAGAAACCTCCTATAGACTGAAACAAGCGTCCAAAATATGTTAAAAGAATGAGGGACTTCAAATGACACCCCAATGCATGAATTTTTCATAAAAATTCATAAAATCTTCCAAAAATAGTTCCAAAGTTGAAACTTAAGAGTTTTGTGAAATGTGGACATGCGTGCAAACGTAAAAAGAAATTTAAGACGCGTCCCAATGGTCCGTGGCCTCAAAATAACCCCAATGCAAAATATGACCTCTCAACGGCCAAAAATGACTTAAAATGCAATTAACAAAACCAAAATGCAAAACCTATAGCAAAATGGTGTTTGGCCCTCAGCCACACCTCACACATTATCATATAGACTCTACGAAAGAAAAATAATGGAATTCCCACGCTAAATGCAAACATGGTGAAACAAAGACCTAACATTTTTTTAATATTTTCATAATAAACCTTAGAAGCAAAAGTATATAGAATACATGATACATGTCATTGGCCTCTGGCCTCATCTCATACATGACATTTACATTGAAAATAGTGTACTTATGTACACATTACATATATTGAATCCAGGAATACAAGTTTTGATACATAAGACTACAAGTGGCATTTCAAGCCAACCTTTACAAAAATTAAAAACCTTTAAGTCTACAATCATCCAAGCAATGATGAACATCACGAACCAAGTCTTCGTACCTGAACAAAACCCCCAGCAACTTTGACGCGAGTAAACAAGTTTACACGTAGGGAATGAGCATGCATAGACTTAATTTCTTTACAGATTTTTACATTGACTTGAAACAATTCAAAAGGGACATGTTACCAAATGTCTATGTCAAAATAAGACTCAAGGAGTATCCTAAGTTATCTTAGATCATTTCTAGCATAAATCACATTATTTATGCAATTTAAACAACATAGAAGCATGTTATAAAAAGTAATAAGATGTAGATTCTCAAAGTCCTCAACTTGGAATCTAAAACACGAAAGCAACTAAAGTGGATCATGGCATCTAACGTCTATGTTCCAAATGAATTTATACGATCATTCCTAAGCTACATTTGAACATAAAACACAAATCACAATATCGATGCAATTTAACCAACATTAGAACTTCCAATACAACGCATAAAGCATGATTTCTCAAAGTTAATATCTTGAAACTTAAAATGGGAAATCAAATATGGAACAACAAGTTATAACATCATCTAGTTACCAACTTGGAATTGAAATGCGAAATCAAATAAGGTGGATATTTGGACATCATGTCGGATCAGGCTGACACCAAAGTTACTTTAGGGTTACTAGCCCACGAGTAACCGCCCTATGTGCGCACTAGACTATAGAGGAACAATCTCCCGTACTAGAACCATGTCCTAGCCGTAGTCAAACAACGACATCCCCAAGTTTCCCAAATCATCAAGTTGTGCAAAAACGTATATAGCAACATGTATATACAAGATAATCAACTATCTACCACGCACAACTAAATTTGGAAACACATACAATACATGCTCTAAGTCCACAACTACTATGGCATGAAAGATGTCAAATACAAGGTGTGCAAGTCATTACACAAGACAACAATATAATCCATAAAGAAAACATGCCCTCATGAATATAAATATAACAACAATGTTATCATATGTTAAAAACATAACCAAGTGAATATATAACAAGTTCAAGTCCATGATTTGAATATAAAAATAACTTCTAAAACACAATTAGATCCATGGAGCCATTAGATATAATTTAATTAAACAAAAATGATTAATTTCTCTAGATTTCAAATCAATCTCAAATAACTTCAAATTATTATATGTTAAATAACATAACATGCTCATTACATATATCAAATCAAAAGAACAAAATGAGCAAGATATCATCATGTAGAATTTAATTAATTTAAATTAATTAAATCTCTAATTTTCAAAAGTTGTTCAGATGGTCCCAAATTAATATATATCAAGGATTAAGCCATGGCCATGCCATATATCAAGTCAAAAATGGAAAACAAGCAATGCACAATTAAATAGAATTTAAATCAAATTAAATTCATTTAAATCTCTAGATTTGAAAACTCATTCAAATGGTTCCAATTAATTATATAACAAGGATCAAGTGAAGGCCATGCCATATACTAAGTCAAAAGTAAGTTATATGCAAGTTACAATAATCATTAATTTCTCAAATTAACATTAAAACATGCATACAACTTGTATTCCATTGCAAAAGCAATTAAAATCACTTAGAAAATAAACTATTATACCCCCTACCTCACTAGAGAAGTGTCTCTCCAGAATCCAAGGCAAATCAACACAAAATGACAAACCCTTCAAGGGTTATGTAGAGGAGGATGAGGGGAACAAAAAATATTCCAAGCTTCATGGTCAAAGGTGAGTGGAAGGGCCTCAAAAATCAAGGTCAAGGCTTAAGCATCAAGCTTCTCTAATGGTGGCTAGGGTTTGTGGTGAGGAAGAGAATAAAATAAATTGATTAAGTGTGAGTAGAGGAAATAGAAATCCTCCACTCACTATGTAATCCTATACCATGGTCAACACACACATCTATGGTCAATTTTACACGTAATCCCAAAGTAACCCAAAAATAATTGCAAAACTTAATTTGAAGCATACATTTGTCATTCATCTAAGCATCCATTGTAGGCTTAATCTTAAGCCTACACTTGTCAACCATCCACGACAACAAGTGCACCTATCCTAGGTCAACAAGTGGGTAAATCTCCACCATCCACATGTCATCATCCAAGACATCAAAGTGTCTTCACACAAATGTCAACAAGTGGACCAATGAGAGTGTGACACTTGTCACACTTTTCAAAAATTGCAAAAAGGTCCTTTTTGAAAATATCTTCCAAATTAAATTGTAAAAGGGTCCCGAAGACGAAAAATAATTACTTTACATAATTACACTAAAACCCCAAAACTTAAGAAAATTACCAAAAAGTTATGCATCCATACCCTTTACAAGAAAAGTAAACATTTAACACGTTTTTCAACAAAAGTGAAAATGTAGATATCATGAAAATCAAATTTCATGGATACATGCAAAGCCGGAGTCAAATCCGAGGGCAAAAAGTGAGGTTATGCAACAAAAAAGGAAACCGGGAAAAAACAAAAAGTGAATACTGATGAAAAAAACAAAAAATGTGGAAATGACTCGATCCTTATAGGAAGTTGTCAATTCAAATAAAAGAGTCTCAGAAACCATTTCCGAGCACTCGATAAGAGACCAAGTGACGAAAAACCGAACACAGAAAAGAAAAGATAACGAAAAAAATTTATCCGTAAAATTTGAAGAAAGGGAAAGGAAGGAAAATGGCCGGGTCATTACAAAAAGAGACCCTCAACTCATCCTCATGCACCCTGATAGTATCTAAGATGTTCGTGACTTGCTCCATCCAATCCTCTGCAAACAATGGATCGGCTTCACCATGAAATTCAGGCGGATCCATTCGTCGAAACTCCCTCATAGCAGTGATGGCTCTAAACCCAACCCCACTAGCTTGGGGTTGAGCCCCACCATGTGAGGTCATTATCCACTGTTGCATGTCCTCAACCATTTGTCTAGTAAACTGAGTCCCATCCATGGGCACCTGTTGTGCCTGAACTTGCTGCACTTGAACCTATTGCGTCGAAGTTGTGGGTACGGATGGTGTCGGAGTTGTGGGTACCGATTAGGTTGAAGTTGTGGGCATCGATGGTGTCCGTTCTATTGCCACTTGCTTTCCCTTTCCCTTTCTCTGTGCACTTGTCTTTTTACGTGGTGTCATTATTCTATAAGGTTACAAGAAAGGATTTAATCATAGTAGAATAATATTAAGCTTAACACTTAACATATAGTACATTACTTATATTTCACATAACAAGTACTATAGTACACGAAACAAAACAAAACAAAACAAATAAATAAACATACATACATATATATATATATATATATTTGTACCTAATATATGTATAAGAAGACCTGAAACCCAGTTGCATTGAATTTCCTTATTTTCTTTTAACCAAAATAGTAACTCACCCATATAACATGTCATCCTATGCAAATCATACTAACCATTTATTGTCCTTTAATTTTAGGGAAAAGTGCAATAAACCCCTCTAAACTATCAAAATTGCATAAAACCCCCTAAACTATACAAATTTGTTGCAGATCACTCCATCCGGCCACCAGCCGTCCAAAAATGAGCGCGTGATTCTCACGCGATAGACAAGTTGAATATTTTGGACAATAATGCCCTTCCACCATCTGCGACATCCCCTCCTCTACCTTAATAGCGTCGCCTCAACACCATCGCCACCCATCTCTGCAAACCCATGACCACCACCACCCATCACCCCATTCCAAATCTGATAATTATTGATAACAAGAGAATAAGTTCTGTTTGGTACACTTATAACATAACACATGAGTTGCCGAGTTGTATAGCTCACACTGACAATGAAGCACCACCACCTCCACCTCCGTCTAATCCACCTTTTTCGCCGTGGATTCGCCACCAAATACAGTGCAGAGTCGTCATCGAATTTGACAACGGCCTCTCATTCGCCGTCAAAGTCGACTCTCCCACCTTCCAAACTAATGTCCGAGGATACCCTCTCCCTCGTGGCGACCTCATCTGCAAGGTCGCTCAAATCCTCCAATCCTCATCATCAGACCCTTTCCTCGACCTCACCAGCTACCTCCAGACACTAACCTTAACTTTAACCCCCTCCGAATCCTCAGAAGTCCTCAAATCCACAACCCTCGCCCAAGATTTCTTCCGATTCTGCTCCTTATCCATCCCCAAATTCTGCCGATCTTGTCCGATCTGTAAATCCAAGACCCGGATCTATCTCGCCGGATCTCTAAGACCCAGTCATCTCCCTCTTCGCAGCCACAGCCGAACCAGTCATCTCCGCTGGATCTGCCACCGCCAGATCTATCTCGCCGGTGCCATCAACATTCTCACAGCCGCCTTCGCTCTCCATCTCTAAGCCAGCTCTTCACTACTGAATTGGAGTTATCATCTCTCCCGCCAATCCACTCGCTACCAAGTCTTGCGAATCCTCCTCCAGTCGCCCCTCGTCGGTTCTCTTAAACCCAGATAATCAGTATATATATAGTTCTCACTGCCGATTCAGTCCACCGAGCTCGGTTGTGGCCGACGAGCAAGTAGGCTTCAAACAGCAGCCAGCGAACAAAAGAAGCTCAGCTCGCTCTCTCTCTCTCTATCTCTCTCCCTCCCTCTGCAGAAAAATGAGGGCCAAAGACAAGAGGGTTAGTTCATTGAGGGTAATGTTGTCTTTTGGCTTTTCCGGCACCCTATTGTTAGTTTAAGAAGGTTAAGTGCAACAATTTGTTAGTTTAAGGGGGTTTTATGTATGTTGGCCTAAGGATTTAATCTAAAGGTCAATCTTATATTTTGATGATTACAAACCATTAATGATGTTTATGTACTAATATTTTCCTTGAGTGCTATATAGTTGATCAATTAATTCAATCCTCAATATTGAGCCAGAAGCATTCCAAGTACTCAAGCAATGGATTCAAGGAAGCATTGAAGTTGCAAGAATTCAAAGATTATTCAAGTACTCCATCAAAGGCTAACCGATCATGGTCAAAGATTGAAGAAAAGGGTAGATTAGATGGTGAGAGCTTAAGATTTAATGTCAAAGTTAATTTGAATATATTTGAAGCTCAAAATTCAATCCATGCATTGCATTCCCATTTTATTTCTCAAAGAAAATAAAATCAGCTCATGATCACATTCACAGGACTTAAAGAATTTCATATTAAGTATCATAATGTGAGATGGAGAAGGCTCCATAAAATAAAGAGAAGGCTCTTTTCTCTTATTCAGTGAGCTCTGAGAAGATTCTTTTCTTTAACTCCAGTAAGTCTTTGAGAAGTATTTAAGAAAAAGAGAGGGCTCAATCAAAAGAAAGAGAGGGCTCTTTTTGTTCCAAGAAAGCTACGAAAATGGATCTTCAAAATAAAGAGCAGGCTCACGTTTTTATTGAGCAGGCTCTTTCCAAGGAAAATGAACAAAGAGCAGGCTCTTTGGTTTTCAAGAGACGGCTCTCTTTAGGGTTTTAAACTGTAACTTAAACATTTTCATTAAATGTTCTCAACAACCTCTAACAGCTATATTGAACTCTGTTTATTCTATAAATACTGAGGTTGGTCTTCAAACTAAATGATCTTTTTTAACAGAGAACATTCTATCATTCCTTGAAAAGCATTAAAGAAGTTTTCTGAGCTTTCATTCCCTCTCTGTTATTTCATATCACTGTAGTAATTCTGAGCTTCACGTATATTCATCTTTTCTATAGTTGTGAGCTAAACCCTGTAATCTATCTTTGAGAGATTCTTGTACACTTGTTTCTTCAAATTTCAAAGCTATTGTAAAGGGTTGGTGTAACCCAAAAGAAAGCCTAGGAGAAGGGTGTTCTCCTAGCAAAGAAGAGAAGCAAGATCTTGTTTCAAAAGTGAAGGTTTGCTCTCCACCATTAAGGAGAAGCTCTAGTGAATTTGGGAAGTCTCAAGGGGGATCTTGAGCCGAGGAGTAGGAGTTTCCGAACCTCGCTAAATCACCGAGTCATTGTTTGCAATCTCTTATCTCAATCTCTCTTATTTTTGTGCTTTATTTTGCTTGAATATTTCAATAAACTGATATTCAACAGTTTGGTAGAAATATAATTTTTAAATTGAAAAAATTGCTCCTTGACTCTATTCACCCCCCCTCTAGAGTCAATTAGTGACTAACAATTGGTATCAGAGCCTAATCTCTAGAAAAAGACTAATCATCTTAGAGAACGATCATGGCCAATGCACTTTTCCATCAAGAAGGTCAATCTAACAATAGACCCCCTTGGTTTGATGGAAGTGACTACAACTATTGGAAAATCAAAATGAGAGCATTCTTAAGAGGCATAGATGTAGATGTTTGGAAAGCCATAGAAAAAGGAGACCATGTTCCAACCAAGATAGTAGAAGGTGAAAATGTTCGAACACCCGATACTGAATGGACCCTCAATGACCGTAGGCTTGTACAATGTAATGTCAAGGCTATCACTAATCTCTATTGTGCCTTAAGCAAAGACGAATTCAATAGAATTTCGGATTGCGAAACGGCCAAAGAAATTTGGGATAAACTTGAAGTTACCTATATAGGCACTAGTCATGTTAAAGAATCCAAAATGAATATGCTTGTCCATAAATATGAACTTTTTACCATGAATAACAAAGAAACTATTAGTGAAATGTACTCTCGTTTTACTAACATTGTTAATCCCTTGAAAGCTCTTGGAAGAAAATATACATCATCCGACAATGTAAGAAAAATCCTTAGATCTTTGCCAAAGAATTGGGAAGCTAAGAAGACCGCCATCCAAGAAGCCAAAGATCTTAACACACTTCCCATTGACGAACTTATTGGTTCATTAATGGCTTACGAGCTAGAAATGAATGATAGAGATGAAGAAACTGAAAAGAAGGATATAGCTCTACAAGCTACTACCAAAGAAGTTACAATTAATAAAGTTCCTCATGATGAAGAAGAAGAAGAAGTTGCTCTCATTACCAAAACCGTAAGAAGAATTCTTCAAATGAAGAAGTTCCAAAAGAGCAACCACTTCAAAAGAAATGGGTCGTCTAGTGAGCAAGGAAAAAGAGAAGCACCTACTTGCTTCCATTGTGGAAAACCGGGGCACTTCAAGTCCGATTGCTATGCCTACAAAAATGAAAAGGAAAGGAAAAAGAAAGGCAAAGCCATGCAAGCTACATGGGAGGATGATGATTCAAATGGATCCGAAAGTGACGATGAACTAAATGAATTGGTTAATCTTTGTCTCATGGCCGATGAAGATGAGGTAAATTCTAATCATAACTCATTTGATTTGGAAACTACTTATGATGAATTGGTTGATGCACACAACTATTTGCTAGATGCTTTTAGAGAATTGCATGATGAATTAGGCAAAATGGTTCAAAAATGTGCTACTCTCAAGAGGGAAATGTATATCATCTCTCAAAACCTTGAAAAATCTCAACTTGAAAATGAAGCTTTGAAAAAGGAAAAAGAATTAGCTAAAGAATCGGTTTCAATTGATTTAATTTCTGAAAATAAATCATTGAAAGTTATAATTGAAGATCAAATTGAAACTTTAGATAAATTCACAAAAGGTAGAGAGAATTTGGGTCTCATACTTGGAAAGCAAAGAAATGCTTATGCCAAGGATGGACTTGGATTTGATCCTCACAACAAAGATTCTTGTTTATTGAAAAAGAGAATACCTTTGAACAATTACTTCGTTAAAAATTCCTCTTTTAGTCACAATGTAACTATTGTAAAAAAATAGGACATAAGATCAATCATTGTCCTATTAGGCCATGTAGGACAAAAGAAGTTTGGGTTATTAAAGGGACTTATACACCTCTTCCTAACTCTCATGGACCCAAGAGAATGTGGGTACCAAAAGAAGATTATTCAAATTCCTTTTGTAGGTTTGCTTGAAGTCTCCATATTCATCCAAGGACAAATGGTTCCTTGATAGCGGATGCTCAAGGCATATGACGGGAGATCAATCAAAATTTCGCTCC